GAATATCAGCTTGGAGGGTTCAGGGTATCTCCTAGTCGAGCAGTTTCGACTAGAGCCTTCTTACTTCTTTTATTAAGTTCTCTTTGCTTTTTGATATTTCAGTTAACAACTTAGTTCATTTTGATCGACAGTCGATGAGAGTTCGTCAAAGGACCTTTGACAGAATCGAGTTCAGCCTCGGAGACCCTTTCACTAGAAGTATTCATTTATCAGCACTAATCACCTGTGCGATGAGGGGTGCGTGTCGCTACGAATGGGTATGGGTATGGGAGAGGGTTGTCCGTTGAGGGGAGCAGCTCGCATCCGCTGTTCCGTTTTGGTTGTTGTTGCTGTTGCTGTTGTAGTTCCTATCGTAGCTTGTCAGCCGTAAGGCATGTCAATGTCGAGCACCCAATGCCGATGCCGCTGCCGTCTCGCATGTGGCATGTGGCATGTGGCATGTGGAAAGCTAGTGAAGAGCGACATGCCTTTGTGCCCTTTTTATCGTTCGCAGATGCACCTCGATGAACGTCATGCGGGACAACTACTCGATGGGCGGAAGCGTGAGTGGGGTGCGGCCGCCGAGCATAATGCTGGCGGATGTGTCGCCGACGCCGCTGCGCCCGTCACTCAATTCCATTTCGCAGATGCAGGTGCAGGAAATGAACGCGACCGGCAATGGCAACAACGGCAATCTCAACATCAACATCAGCATCAATGCCGGCAATGGAGCTGGGGGCGGCGGTGCTGCGGTCAGCAACAACAACAATCTGAACGGGGGCAGCGCCAACAGCAACCCGAGCGCCAATGCGCTGCGTGACTCACGAACGCTGCCCGTGAGCAATCGCATCGGCTCGCGCTCGGTTAGCCAGGACTCGGTCTACACAATACTCATCCGGCTGCCGCCAGATGGCGCCAGCTCGGCGACCGGCAGCAGCGGAGTTGGCGGCGTCAACAATGCCCTGGGCAACCAAGGCGTCCATGGTGATTGCGGGCCGTCCATCAAGATGATACACGAGGATGTCTCAACGGTGGGGGCAGGTAGCTTGGGAGTGGTCACGACTGCCCCACCACCCACGCGCCGCCCCTTGCCGTCGCGCGACTCGGAGTTCAGCCTGCCGCTGGGCAGGCGGATGTCGCACGCCCCCCAGGATATGCGGCTGCTGAATGCGAAGGTCATACCGAAGCAGCTGGGCAAGACGGCGGGTCAGAATGCGCTGCTGAACGCTCGCAACGCGGCCAAGAAGAAGAAAAAGTCGCAGGAGAAGCGACAGGAGTCGAAGGCTGCCAAAACGCTCTCAGCCATTCTGCTCAGTTTCATCATCACGTGGACACCGTACAACATTCTAGTCCTGATCAAGCCGCTGACGACCTGCTCGGACTGCATTCCCACCGAGCTGTGGGACTTCTTCTACGCCCTGTGCTACATCAACTCAACCATCAATCCCATGTGCTATGCGCTCTGCAACGCCTCCTTCCGGCGCACCTACATTCGCATCCTCACCTGCAAATGGCAGTCGCGCAATCGAGAGGGAATGGTCCGGGGCGTGTACAATTAGGGCGGCGCAACGCCTGAGGTTGGTTCATATAAGTTGCAATAAATGTGTTTTGCCAAAAAATTATATAAAAAAAAAAAAAACAAATAAAACCAAAATCCAAATGGGAATTATTAGCAAAAGCAAAAAGCAAAACTAGGCTTAGGTAACACTCTGAAAAGCAGTACTGATTTTTGATGTCTAGCCAACAATACATAAATATATTGACGATAGTATTACAAACAAATATATGAATATATACATATATGATATATATAAATATATACGCATATGTGTAATTGCAATTCGCCTGGGCTGCTCAATAAATTTTCCATCGTTCACTCCAATCCAGTTATGATTGATAAATGTTGATAATATATTTGTATTAGTTTTCAAGATATTGCTTGAATATGTAATGTTCGGTGTTGATGAAGAGTATAACACTTTCAGTAATTTTAATATACGTTTGATTTGACCGATACCAACTTCAAATAGATATTTCATTCAATGGTCTTTATGTCTTATATACAATAATCGAAAATTTACAGAAACTCGTCTTCCATTTGGAATATATTCGCAAACACTATTCAGTGCTAAAACATTCTTAAAAAAGTGAAGAAATTAAGAAATTAAGATTCGACTCATACTCAAGCATTCATGGAAACTTATTGAGCAACCCTTGAGGCTTTTACTGAAGCAGCCACATCATATAGAACCCCTTTTTCTTGGGCGTTCACTTTTAGGTAGGCACGTGCTGCATGCAACAAGAATTTAATGCAAATATAAACGATTACGATCTGGAATATATTATATAAGCTAACATATATATATGTAATGAAGATAAACAAATATACCTATGGTAAACCTTAAGTTTTTGGCATACCCCAAAAAACAAAACCAAAAAAGCTTTAATACAGTTCAAATCACCGCGCGCAACGAATCGCAGTGGGCACTTTTTCCGGAAGGGATATACCTCTGATGTGGAGTTCAGGATTTTGGTTGGCCTTGTTGTCGTTGACGATGTGACGATATGTGATTGTATTGCTCGTTGTGTTTTTGATAAGTTTTGATATTTTGAATCATCTTTTGTATACCAAGTAAAGTATAAGTACCAGACGAGAGAGAAGCGAGCAAAACAGAAGCAAAGTAGGCGAAGATACCCAGCATCAAGTGCGCGTCAATCGAGCAAGTTTATAGTATTTAATTGAAAAACAAACCAAAATCCAGAAGCAAAAAACTAAGCAAAAATCAAGAAAAGTAACACTAGTATGTATCCATCAAGAACGTAACCCACCATAGTTCAACTACTAAGAACAAACTTTTGTAACTGTTGATTAAAACTTTGTAAAAAAAGAAAACCAAAACTCGAGTAAAAGAAAAATACCAAAGAACTAATGATACGATTTATCGAAACAAATGGCAAAAGCAATTTAAATCAGGCGTGCGCCTCCCTCAAGAGCGGGCAGTCGATGGGCCAGCTTTAAGATCTCCATGTGAATATTTAAAAACTCTCCAGCAGACAGACGCATAAAATGATACCCGTAAGAGCAAACTTTAGAGAAGATTAATTCTTTCTTAAGAATGTTTTGCCTGAAACTAACAAAGAGACCTACACCATAGACAAGCGTTACAGATAGATTCTGTTGAGGTCAGAGCCGAGCAATGGGAATATGTTTGACAAAAAAAAAAGGCTGTGCCATTAAATAGGACACCAATGAAAAATTGCGAAGCGAGTCCTTTAAGCAATAGAGCTAGTTCAAGGTTGAGGTTATGGGCTTCAGTTTGGTTTGGCTTATATCATCATCGACTGCGTCGACTTGGACCCCAAGTTAGGAGTCTATTCCAATGCACCAACAAACTATGAAATCACATACATATACAAAAATATATAGTATTAATATGGGAAATACAAGAGATACAATAGCTTAAGCTGAGCACAAACAGTCAAATAAATACAAATACATAGAAATAGACAAATGTGAGAAGAAAAACGAACAAAAGAAATAATGCTTTTTATCAGTTTGTAGTTAACCTAAACAAACAAAAAAGTGGATAACCCTCTCGAGGTGGTATTCCAAATGCTGAAATCAAAGCAACAGTCTCAATGACATATATATATACTCTATATGTATATACCTTATAAGATATATGAAATTAATATTAAAGTTAAAAGCAAACCAGAGATGAAATAAAAGAAAATAATAGAACCCAAAAGACATGATTTACAACCACGCACACATCCAAACGAGGCATATAGAAATGAATATGCATCTATCTATTTCTGCAAAAGTCCCAAATTTATTATATAAATAACATATGACACATAGTTTGCAATTTGTAAGCGCAATAACTGTGGAAAGCTGGCTCCCTAGGAAGAAGAAGAAGATGAAAAAGATGAGAAAGTAGATTGCAGCATTCAGAATATTGTTAAGAAATGAGATTTAAATGCATACAATCTAATTGTTTGGAAATGTACTACGATATTTGTATGAAACAAAAATAATAATGATGATAATAAAATATAAAATGCCTATGTGAATTAATGCTAACAATAAACAAGTAAGAAGGTTCTAGTCGAGACTGCTCGACTAGGAGATACCCTGAACCCTCCAATCTGATATTCTAATCATTCTGTACTTATTTTATGCGCAGTTAGCAACGACTGCGATTGCGTTACATATTTTATATTTATTATATAAACTATTAACAATTGCATCATTATATTAATTCAGTCGTATAGTAAAAATACGTAATATTTTAAATTTACATTTGGAAGTGAAATTAAATTTATAGATTTTTGTAGCATCGTCTTTAATTAATTCCATTAAATAATTCCATATTCAACGGTTATCTGAAATAAACTTGATCGATCTGTCTGAATACGCTGTAAAAGTGTGGGACTGTCTGACAGATCTGCATGGATATATCTATACATATGTATATATATTCATCCTATGGGGCTTACCACGCCTCATTCCGCCTGCTACTCACATTTGAGAGAAACCAATTTTTCCGGATTTACGATTCTCAAACGTATAAGCTTTCCATATCGTTATGTAAATGATCATTCTCCAGATTTAACAATTCATAATAAATTGAGTTGAAAGTGACTAAAATATATATGTATGTATACGTCGGATATTTCCGCAGATTAAATAATTTTGTAGAGCGCAGCGTATTCCTGCACTGTTGCCCTTCTTCCTCTTGTTAATGAGCTCCGATTGTTCGATTACATCCATTGCAACCAACTGGCGACCTCGTCGGGACCACACTCAATATTAGTGTTAGCTAACATCTCATACAATCCATATTACCACTATATTAATCAAAACCATGCATATTCTATTGGAATAATACTATCATCTCCGACATGTACTAAAATATAAAATATTTATTTATTCCGTTGAGTGCAGTTATAACCGGATTCGACTGTAGTATAATGATTATTGAACATTTCCTTGAAGAAATAGACTGGTTGACTCAATGAAGTATGTATATAAACACTTTGATCAAATAAAAATATATATAATCCGCATTTCGTAGATTTCACGTTTGCTTATATTCTTTAATTATTATTATTATTATTAGTTTGTTGATCTACTTTATATCGAAAATTGTGCATTAAGAATTAATAATTAATAAGAATGATGAATTATTAATAATGTGTCTTATATGTGATTTTTTTTAAAAAACTTTAAAATAATTTATATTTATATATATTAATTGTTTTTTTTTTTTTTTTTTTTTTTTTTTTTTTTTTTTCAGCGAATTTGTGCATTAATAAGAATTCAAATTTAATTTAGCTTTGAACGTGAATGAAGCTGAATTCACTTAAACATAGTATAATGAGGGCCTGTTCATCAGCTCGCTTACTAAGGAAAAAAGATAACTGTAAATGGGTTCAAATGTCCGTTGCGTCCCGTTGTTCCTGCTGTTGGTGTTCGTTTCTCGTTTGATCCTCGTCGGACGTTTGTCCACGTTGCATTAGTATCTGCGTGTTCTTCTGAATGGTCTCCAGCTTTTGCTGCATTAGCTCCTGGCGACGAGCCTCCGCTCGTTGCTGCTTGGCATCCAGCTCGTCGAGCGTGAGGGGCTCCGCCTCGGCGGCTTGCTGCATGAGCTGTTGCAGTCGCTTGGGCGGCTGACGCAAGGTGTCGTTCAACGGGACTGTCTCGCTAGCCGCTTCGTCGAGGGGTATGGTGAATGCCTCAGAGGGCGCTGCTCCATGGACGATATTGATTATATGAGCAGAGCTGATTGAGGGCTACTTACGGTACTCCTGCTTGGGCAAAGCGTCCATTGTGTTAGAGCTTGTTGTTTCTGTGGCTGCGGCGGGGGGCGGGGATTTGCCTGGTGCTGCCGCTGGCGCTGCCTTTGCTCTGGTCTCGTCTACAGCAGTCGCGGACTTTGAATTGGAGCAGCCCATGCTCGGCAGCTCATCAGGCGCAAGGCATTACGCTAATACTTCCGTTTCGGGCTGACGGCTTTTCCAGCTCTCTGCTCTCTGCTCTTTGGTCTCTGCTCGCTGACCTGTTAAAAGAATCGGTTTCAGATGAGCTGGGGACGCTTTGGCAAATACTAATGCGATTTCCTACTCGGCATAGGAGCTACATCCGCTGCGAAGCGTTCAAGCTAAGCCGACAGCTCAGTCGTTAGAAGCAGCTTGGGACTGCGCTTAATGGCTTATTAATATCGATTTTACATGCGCTATATCTGTGTGTCTGTGTAAGTGCGTTGCAGGATTTGCGGGAGACAACCTTCAAGATGTCCGTCTGACAGCGGCGCGCAGCGCTAACTAAAACTGGAACCGCAATGCAAATGTTTTGCGCTGGTCATTAATAATAATCGCTGGGGCGCAGCCAGGACTACTATCCCCCAAAGGGATCAATATTCATATGTGAACGGCATGTTTATTTCCTTTATTTATCTCTGACATTGACTACACTGAGCGATTTTTGCGCACAGCAATGACAAATATTAAACGAACTGAAAACGTTTGAAGTAAATCAAGTAAGAAAGTTGCAGTTGCGGGCATTTCCGACTAAACTCATGTTTCATTTTCCGGGTGGTCAACCGAGTATGTATATATGCCCAACGTCACGTCTGCACCATCAATCCATCAACTATATTTGAATAATATAAAATGCAATTGTGCCCTTTATAATTCGAGGGCATAATATGTTCCGAAATGTAAGTTTCTTCAAGTGTTACGGAAAAAGCTGCATTTATACGGATATATGTACATACAGCAAGTCTGGTTAATCGACTTAGTTACCTGTATATCGAAGGCTTTCTTACCCAACATAATAACATAACATCGATCCCATGATTATTTACAGTCAGATTGGCTTTGGTACCTGTCTGAATCACTATAAAACAGCTGAAAGAAATTTGATTTTTCATCTTAAATATATCATTATTATTATTACGCAAAGTACTAATCGACAATTGCAATCGAAGGCTCGAAATGCCTAGAAACTTATTTCTTAGCGTGTAGTTGCGTGGGCGTGGGTAATAAAGGCTGCCAAAGCAAATAGAGCCAGACAGCGGCCACGCCCACTCGTTCATGCAGAGCCCCAAAAGGGGACTCTGGCCACTGTCGACCAATGTCAATCAACTCCTGCTTGTGGTCATAGTCAACGTTAATAGCGGCTTCATTCGCGTGCTCATGGGAGCCCACATATATACACACATCAGCAACACACATATACACACACACACACACACACACACACAC